CTCTCCCTGGTCACCCAGCACCCCATCGGGCCCTTCCCCAGGGTCCAGTCCCCCACCAGGTTGAAGAGCCCGTCCCCGGAGGCTGGAGGGGTCCAGAGCCCCCCGTCCCCGTCCCCTCCTCCTCCTCCCGCCCACCCAGCGCCCCCTCCCCCGGACAAGGGCAGCCCCCAGGCCGTGGCCAACCAGCACTTCATCATGGTGGAGGTGCACCAGCCCAACAGCGAGCCCGACGTCAACGAAGTGAGGCCCCTGCCCCAGGCCAGAGGTGGGTGGCACCTGCCCCTCGAGAGAGAGAGAAACGGCAGAGGAGGCAGATCTGCCCCCGAGCTGGAGCCCCTCTGCTCCGGAGCCAGGCTGGGAGAGCTGGGGGGGTTCACCTGGAGAAGAGAAGGCTCCAGGGAGAGCTGAGAGCCCCTTGCAGTGCCGTGGGGTCCCTTGGGGATGGAGAGGGAAGGGGGGTCCCGGGGCGTCCCTCGCAGATGGAGAGGAAGCGGGGTCCTGGGAGCCCCTCGGAGATGGAGAAGGAAGGGGGTACAGGAGGATCCCTCAGCAATGGAGAGGGAAGGGGGTACAGGGGGATCCCTCGGAAATGGAGAGGGAAGAGGGTACAGGGGGATCCCTCGGAGATGGAGCGGGAAGGGGGTTCAGAGGGATCCCAGGGGATCCCTTGGAGGTGGAGAGGGAAAGGGGTACGGGGCGGATGTCCCTCGCAGATGGAGAGAGAAGGGGGGTCCGGGGGAGTTCCTCGAAGGTGGAGAGGAGGGAGTGTGGTCTCGGAAAGTCCCCCGGAGATGGAAAGGGGTCCCGTGGGGTCCCTCGGAGGTGGAGAGGGAAGGGTGTCCCGGGGGAATCACTCGCAGATGAAGAAGGAAGGGGGGTCCCGGGGGTGCCCGGAGGGTCCTGGGGGTATCCCCGGCCCCCCTACCCTGTGGGACCGACACGAGTGGCAATGTCGCCCTCCTGTGGCCCCGTCCCGTCCCTGCAATGGGTTCATTAACCGCGGTTGATGAGGGTTAATGAGGGTTCGTTAATGAGGGCGAGGGGCTGCTGGGGTCAGGTCCTGCCCAGGGAGTGTCCGCAGTGGGACCTCGACTCCTCCGAGTGCCAGAGCCGCTGTCCCGGACACCCCGCGCTCCCCGCGGGTGCAGCTGTACCGCTCTTCCCGGCATTCCCAGAGTCTCCATCTGCACTTGGAGTCTTTATTCTCCAAGACGAGAAAACTCCTTTATGGCAGCACCTCTTTACTCGGTCCGTCCCAGTCTCCTCCCACGTGGAGCATGGTCTGGATAAACGAGCAGGAACCCAGGACTCATCACTCTCTCCCTCCATCCCTGTTTGGGATCAGGGTTGGATCCTGGACCTGAGTATGAGGCCACTTGTCCCCTGACAAGTGCACAGCTCTGTCCCTCTGCCAGGAGGGTGCAGCCAGGTGGGGGTCGGGCTCTTCTCCCAGGTAACAAGGTACAGGACAAGAGAAAATCGCCTCAAGTTGTGGAGGTTCAGGTTGGATATTAGTGAAAATTTCATCAGTGAAAGGGTGGTCAGGCATTGGGACAGGCTGGGGAGGAGTCTCCATCCCTGGAGGGGTTTGAAAGCCTTGTAGATGTGGCACTTGGGGACATGGGCTCATGGTGGGCTCAGCAGTGCTCAGGGAACAGTTGAACTCGATGATCTTGGAGATCTTCTCCAACTCAAATGACTCTCTGTTCTATGACAGCCACTGATGTCAAATCATTCACCTTCCCCTATTTACAGTCCCGTGGGTTAGTGGTGGGCTCGGCAGTGCTGGGGAATGGTTGAGCTTGCTTAGAAGTCTTTTCCAACCTAAGCAGCTCCGTGATTCGGAAGCTTGGGAGCCTGGCTCTGAAGGCCAGGTGTCATTCCCGGGGGATCTGCCCGGCCCTGGGATCTGCCCTCGCCCCGTGCGTGCCCGGCCGGCCCCGGGGCCGCACTGCCCGCCCTCTAACCCGCGTGTCTCCCCAGCCTCCACGCTCTCCCAGCTGTCGGACAGCGGGCAGACCCTCAGCGAGGACAGCGGGGTGGACATCGGGGAGCTCGAGACCAGCGGCAAGGACAAGAGCCGGCAGCCGGGCCCTGGGAAAAGCCGGAGCCTCAAGGAGGCCGCGAGGAGCGAGGGGGCGGCTGAAGGGGCCTCCAAGCCGGTGAGGGCCCGGGGGGGGCTGCTGGTTGTGGGAAGGGGCACCTGGGGCTGTCCCCCACTGCCTCATCCGGCCAGTTCTGCTCCCCCTTCCCCACTGCTCTGCTGTGCTTTGGTGGGTTGTTTATCCTCTGTAGTAAGCTGAGTGAGCTCTCTGGGGGGCTGAGCTGTGGGGAAAGGGATCAGGAGTGGCTGAAAGGGGCTCTGTAGAGCTGATTCACTCCATGCTGGATAAATCCAGTCCCTCCCAGCTACAGAGGGCATGGCAGAACCCCTGGCTCTGAGGGAACATCCCCAGGGCGCAGTGAAGTCACCTGTAGCCTGGAAGGGAAGGTGGCAGCAGGTATCAGGGGGTTTCTGATGGTGGTATAGGTAGGCAGGCAGACAGCTGCTCTGCTCTTCCTCAAGTTCTTCCAGCCCTGCCCGTGGTTGGGATCTTGGATGTCAAGAGTTAGGGAGCGAATGTGTCTGTCCCTCTGCGGTGACAGCCACCCGTGGGTGTCCCTGCCTGCTCTGGGACACCCCAGGGAGTGTGGCAGGCACATGATGTCCAGCCTCCCTTAGCAGTGCCCTCTCTCCCCACAGCCAGGGCTCCTGGAGCCCACGTCGTGTCTGATCCGGGTGTCCAAGAGCGCTCCCACCTTGGGCATCGCCATCGAGGGCGGAGCGAACACGCGGCAGCCGCTGCCCCGCATCGTCACCATCCAGGTAGGGCGGGCTGGGAACGGGAATAACTCCATGGACATCCCATCCCTCTGCTCCCTGAGCAGGCTGGGAAAGCCTTTGAGCCACAGCCAGAGCAGAGGGGGGATTTTAGAGGTGCCTCCCCCTGCTACAGCCCTGCACGTCCCCAGCCATCATCCTGCTGTGGGGGTTTGCATCCGTGTCCCGTGGATGATCCCGCACCGTAACAGACATCCTGGGAGCCAAGGATTTGCTGCAGACATTTCAGAGGGAGTCAGGGCAGCCCTGAAAGCTTGGCTGGTGTCTCCAGATGTCTGGAAACTCCCAGACAGAGGACTGGGGAGGGGGAGTGGTGGATGAGAGCCAGACAACTGAGCCCTCCAGAGCTGTCTCCCTGTTTGCTGTTTACTTGGGGCAAAATTCAAGTTATTTACAGCAAAAGAAAAGCAGAGCTGACTGTGCCTTGGTTATTCTTGGCCACCCCAGCTGGCGCCACGCTCCAGGAGCAATCAGGAGGGGAGCCAAATTCACCCCCTCTCTCCAAAAAGCGAAATATCTCATATCCATCACGTTCCTTCGCCGGTTCAGGGTGAACATGAGCGATATGAAATATATCCCATTTTTTTTCCCCCAAAAAACCAGCTGGGTTGACCCAAGGGAGGGATGGTGGGAAGGTGAGCTGACCACCTCTCTCCTGCAGCGTGGGGGCTCGGCACACAACTGTGGGAAGCTGAAGGTGGGCCACGTCATTTTGGAGGTGAACGGCACGGGCCTGCGAGGCAAAGAGCACCGGGAGGCCGCCCGCATCATCGCCGAGGCCTTCAAGCTGAAGGACAAGGACTACATTGACTTCTTGGTCACAGAATTCAACGTGGCCCTTTAGGGATGGCTTTTGGGAGCGCGGAGTGGGACGGGGATGAAGGACAGCGCCGAGGTGTGAACGAGGTCCCGCCACGCAGAGCCCGCGCACGCAGACACCCCCAGCTTGTCCCCAGATGTCCCCTCGCCCGCTGTGGACTCGCTGCCTGGGTAGGGCAGGCTGAGAATGGGCAGAAATCACTGCACGTCCCTCAAAAGTCTCCACCCCGTCCTATCTGGGGTAGGGAAAACGCCCTCTCCCCCTCGGCCGGGCGGGAGGACAGCAGAGGTCTGGGTGTCCCCCCTGTCATTTGAGTGCCACACACACAGCAAGGCGGGCCCGTGGCTCAGGCTGGAGGGGTTTTGGGTGGTGGCCATTCCCTTGGGTGTTCACCCCTCGTGCCCAGGGGAGTGGCACAGGCCACGGGTGGGGAGGCAGAGAGAGCAACTGGAGGCCTTGTAAATCGCTGGCAATGTCGTCATATTTATATATACAGAGCTTGTGCTTTTAATTTTTCAATAAATCTATCAGGGTAGAAAAGGACTGTGGTTGGGGGGGTTCTTGGGGGCTGGGATGGGGGGGAGGAAGGGGCAGGGGTGACTGTGGGGCTCCCCATGGCCAGCAGGGCAGGAGGGCGTGTGGTGGTGGTGGGCTGGGAGGGAATGCTCCATGTTAGCCCCATCCCCTCCCATCCCATCCCAGTCTCACCCCCATTCCCATCCCAGTCCTATCCCTGTCTCATTCCTATCCCATCTCATTCTCTTCCCATCTCCATCCCCTCCCTATCCTCATCCCAATCCCTGCCAGGGATCCCCGGAGGATAGGAAGGGGCAGTGGTGCCTCTGGGGCTCCCCAGCACGGGCAGAGCATGTGGGAGTGCGGTGCTGGTGGGCTGGGAGGGGATGCCCATCCCCAAACTCATCCCCATTCCCATTCCCCTGCCATCGCAATCTCCATCCCATCCCCACCCTCATTTAGACCTTCCTCATCCCCATCCTGTGCCCACTCCATGCCCATCCCATCCCTGTCCCGGCCCCATTCCCATCCCATCCCATCCCATCCCATCCCATCCCATCCCATCCCATTCCCAGCGATCCCGGAGGATGGGCAGGCGAAGAGCTCCGTCAGGGGGCGCCCGCGCTCCTTAAATTATTTAAATGAGACCCGTCTTCCGTGGCTCTGATTGGCCGCGCGCCGCGCGCTATGCAAATACGGAGGGAGGCGGGGTTTATGCTAACGACGTCCCGCTCCCTGCCCGGCGGCGGGCGCGGATTGGTCGGGAGCGGCGGGTATGCTAATGAGCGGAGGACACGCCCCCCGCCGCGGGCCGCGCTATTGTCCGGCGGGACCGGGATTGGGATCGGGATCGGATCAGGATCGGGACCGCGATCAGGATCAGGATCAGAATCGGGATCGGGACAGGGACCCCCAGCGCCTCCCGGGCTCTCCCTGCAGGTGGGCTGCGCGGGGCGCTCGCGGTTGGAGTGGGAGGGGGGGGTTGCCCCTCCAGCGGTGCCCCAGGGCCAGATGTGCCCCAGCTGTGCCCGGGGGGCCGGGAATGGCTCGGCTGCTCCCTGCTGCGGGGAAAAGGAGGAGGGGGCCCCCGCGGCGCCGCTGGAGGCGCAGCTGGAGGCACAGCCCGGGGGCCCGCGGGGCTGGCTCCATCCCCGGGGCCGCATCCAGCGCTCCCCGGGCGCATCCAGCGCTCTAAGCCCGGCTTAGGCAGCTGGGAGCCGGTTGGGGTCTCGAGGCGGAGCGGGGGGAACTCGCAGGCCCGCGGGGGTCCCTGCGGCCGAGGAGACGGGACGCGCCGGGAGGATGCGGGAGGCAGCGGGAGGATGCGGGACACGCCGCTCCTCGCCAAGGCGTGTCCTCCTCACGCCATCCGAGCCTTCGTGGCCCCGGGGAAACTTGTCATAACTTTCCTCATCGAGGTGCCTCCTCCCCGCCGGGCCCGGAAGGTTCCGGGCGGGTCCGTCGGGGGCTGCGGGGGCGGTTCGGAGCCGCTGCCGGGGCTCGGCGGGGGCTGCGGGACACGGGGCCGAGCCGCTGCCGGAGGCTCCTCCGAGGAAGTCGCAAGGGCAGCTTTCAGCTTCAGTTCCGTGTTTTATTTAAAGGGCAGCCGTGTTTCTGGTAGCCGGTGGGTGCCGGTTCTGCGGCACCCTTCCAGTGCCTCCCGGGCGGGGATGTTTTAAGGACTCGCGGAGAGGGAGGGACTCCACGCACTGTTCATACGGGCTGGGAGAGCTGGGGGTGTTCAGCGTGGAGAAGAGAAGGCTCCGGGGAGACCTTAAAGCCCTTTCCAGTGCCTAAAGGGGCTCCAAGAGAGCTGGAGAGGAACTTTGGGCAAGGGATGGAGTGACAGGACAAGAGGGAATGGCTAAAGTGAAAGAGAGGTTAAGACTGGATTTTGAGAAAAAATTCTTCCCTCTGAGGGTGGGGAGGCCCTGGCACAGGTTGCCCAGAGAAGCTGTGGCTGCCCCATCCCTGGAAGTGTTCAAGGCCGAGTTGGACAGGGCTTGGAGCGATCTGGGCTAGTGGAAGGTGTCCCTGCCGTGTCCCCGCCACCTTTCCCTGCCCTGTGCTAATTAGGGCTCCCAGTGCCACCGGCTGTGCCGCGGTGACAGCGGCAGCTCTCTCCAGACAGGGATTAAGTCTGTCCTTCACGGGCATTAGGGCACATCCACCCCCGGCTGCTGCAGGTATGTTTGGATTCAGCCCTGGGGGGGACACCTGGGCTGTCCCCAGGAGGAACAGGAGGATCCCCGTGCCTGGGAGGAGGCAGGAAAACGGCCACAGGAGCTCCCTGTCCTGCCGTGGGGCTTCACTTCGGGACAAGTGATGGAGAGATGCCATTTCCCGGGGTTTTGGTACCTCTCCATGGGGATATGCCAGCGTGGGGGAGCTGGGGGAAGGTTTGGCCCCTCCAGGCAGTGGAATTTGGGTGACACGTGGGCTTTAGAGCCCTGGTGTGGTGACAGACGTGTGTTCTTTGAGAGGACAAGGAGGTTTGTGAGGCTCTTCCTCACTGTGACGGTCCCTCCCTTGTTCTGGTAGGAAATAATGCAAACCAAGAACGCGGCGTTTCCGCTCCTCTGCCCTCTTTCATGCTCAGAAAAATGGGACTCTGTGGGCTTTAAAAAAGGGTTTATAAACCAGGAATTCCTCCCTCCTGGAGTGCAGACACCCCTTGCCAAGTTCCAGCCTGAGGCCATTCTGGCCTCTTCCAAACCTCCCCAGACGAGATGCAAAATATCCATCCCTTGCCCAGGATGGGGGTTAAAAGGGGTCTGTGTCCCAAACAGGCACAGACGTGCAAGGAGGGCTTTAATCCCCTTCCCAGGCAAGTGATTTTTGGGACACAGGGAGGGAGGGTTGTCCCCCATCGCTCAGGGGCCATGGGGATGGAGGTGAGGGGTTTAGAGCCCCCCCAACCCACCTGCTCTGCCCAGGGTTGACAGGGCAGTGAAGGCAGAGTGACAGCAGCCCTGTGCCCCCCTCCCTGTCACCCAGCCAGCCCTGGGGCGGAGGATGCTCTGTCTCCTCTGCTGTCACCACTGATAAACCCAGGAGCGAGGATGGATCCGTGCTGGCCTTGACTGTGCCGCTGTTTCTCAGCCTCACACGTGTAATGAGTTGGGCGGTCTCAGCCTCACACCTCCGTCTATCCCACAGGGAGCAGGACAGGGATGGGATCACTGCCTGCAGGCAGGATCAGGGATCAGGAGCTGAGGGCAGGGACAGGCAGACACACCCCCTCCTGCCTGCAGGCCAAGCAGAGACCCGGCAGCACTCATCACTGCTGTGAGCATCCCCTCCCTCGGCCGAGCACCTCCACCCTGAGCCACAATTTGGGACAGCCCTGACTGAGATCTGGAGGGCAGGAGGGGGGCTGAGGGCAGAGCAGAGTTCAGGGGTGCAAGACTGTTTCTTGACTGTTGAGGCTTTTCGATTTCTTTTTTAGCTCCTTTTCCAATTACGTTGTTGCAAAATCCCAGCTTTCAAAGAGCAAAACTTTTAAAAAATAATAAATATTGGGATTGTTTGTATTTGCTTTGTGGCTCCTGTTTATGGAACCACATTATTTTCCAAGCTTTTCTGTGTTCCCCTAACAGTGAGAAACTCACTTAAAGGGGGAAGAAAAAAACCAAAAAACAAAAGCCAAGATTTTTCTCTCTCACCACCGTGACCATCAGTGGAGGGACTTTCTGGGAAAGCAGCAAATGTGGCTGGATTTGGAAGTGGCTCCTGCAGACTGTGGCTGCTGTGGGCAGTGCAGCCTTGGCACCACTGCTCAGAAATGGGGTGACAGCCAATGATGTGTGGGTTGGGCATGGCCTTCTTCAACCCCTCCCACAAAAAGACCCACAATATCCAGTATGGGGTTAAAGAACTGCCAGAACCGGGTGGGAAATGTTTTAATCCTCTCTGTTGCAAGAAAACAGGACCCACAATCTCCTTTTTCCCCCCACCAGCCCTCTGGGACCCCCAGGGGTGGTGTTTGGGCTCCTCATCACTCTGGGATGCTGAGGGGCTTGAGGTGGGATGGGAGGCACTTTGGTGGGGATCTCCAGGCCCCATCTCCAGATTGGGATGTGATTCAGGGTTTAGGACTAGAAACACCCCTGCTCAGAGAGGGGCTAAAGCCAAAATCACTCTTTAGCTGTGTTAGTGCAGGGCCTGAGGCATCCCATGGGCAGCCCTGGTGGCAGGAGAAGCTGTGGAGCATCTCCAGGTGTGGAGAATGGAGTTATCCAGTCGGTATGTGGGGAAAAACCTCATGCAAACAGCCCAGGAGGTTTGCAAAACCCTAAGGGATGATTTGGGGTTTGCTCCCCACCTGCAACACCCCAAAGATGCAGGAGCTCGGGCTTGGAGTGAGTTGCAAGGATGATACCCAAGGACCTTGAACCAGGTGGCACTGGAAAATAACCCCCAAAGCCCCACTAATACCCCCAAAAATTGCAGATCTGAGGCTTGGGAGTGGATTAGGGGACTTTTCCCGGAGCATGCAGGTGGCATGGGTAGGTTTGCTGCTCCCCTGAGCCAGCAGCACCCCAAAATCACCCTCTGGCTAAAGGCAGCCACCCCAGGGACTGTGCTGTGGTTTCATTAGCTCGTCAAGCTCTCCCCCGCGTGCCACTAATTACACAGTAACGAGCTGATTAATTGGCTGCCTGCAAATGTGCCAGGACGTGCCACGGTGCCTGGGTATGGCTGCAGCGTCCCTGGGGTTGTGAGCAGCACCTCGGGGTGGGGGGGCCAGGTGGACACCCCCCCTTGGAAATCCGGAGAGGGTTGGAAATTCCAAGGGGAGGGTCCAGCTGGCTGAATTTTGGGGCTTTAAGGCTTAATTTTGTGTCTCCTGGCAGACCCTCATCCTGATGTCCTCTGGAGGCTGATGGTCCCAGGGATCCCCCTCCCCTATTTTCCTGCAGCGTTTTGCTCCGAATTGGATTAAAAACTAAAGGGTTTGGATGGAAAATGGCCGTGGGAGGAGGGTTCAGCCCCCACTGCGCAGGGCCGGATGGGGTTAAAAAGTTGGTGACCGCCTGCAAACTTGCAGGAAGAACCATTTCCTACTTCTGCAAAAGCTCAGCTGCCCCACAGGCACAGGAAGGTTTTGGGGTGCTCTGAGTGATGCCGCTTTGGGGACTCCAGGTGGGCTCACGGTGATGGGGTGTCCTGGGGGGTTGGCACAGGGTGAGTGTCCCCTGCACGGGGCTGGTGTTGCACCTGGTTTTTGGCCAAAATTGGGGGGGGTGGGGTTCTGATCTACCCGAGGGGATGCTGATGGGAGAAGCCCGTGGCCTCTCTTGCTACACACCCCACGCTGGGGTTTGGACATCCGGCGTTTCTCGAGCTGCTGCTGCGGCTCTGGGAACCCCAGGAGGGGGTGGGGGGGAGCTCATGATCTTGGAATGAGTGTGCCAGGTCTCTGCTGTGATCCCTCTTACTGTCAGCCCCCCAGATCCAGAGGGGTTTTGGGATGCTCCTGCCTCCCCCAGCACCATCCTGCACGGTGATGGCACCACTGATGGTCCCCAGGCTGTGGCCACCCGGCTGGGGTGACATCCACAGGGTGCCAGCACGGGTTGGGTGTTCCCTGGGAGGGGATAAGCTTTTTGGGGTGGCCCTGGGGGGGCTCCTTCCCCACGGGGACCTCAGGGCACCATGAGCTGCGAGTTATGTGGCAGCTCCCGCTTCATGGTGGGATGCAGAGCTGGGGGGCTGGTCCGAGGGTGTCCCCCCATCACGGGAGGCTGCTCTTCCCCTGGGTTCGGGGGGCAGGGGAAGCCCTGGCAGTGGGGGAACACACCTCAAACAGAGCCCACCACGTCCTGCTGACATCCCTCCCTCTCCCTCGCCCCCTTCCCTCCCCCTCCTAGGACGCGGTGGCGATGTTGTGACCTACATTCGTGACAAGGAGGTCCCCAGCCCGCCGCCACCATCGGGCCATGAAGCGGCACAAGTGACAGGCCCGCCGTGCCCGCGGCCATGGCCAGCCCGGCACCATGGCTGCACTGCACACAAACAGAGCTGACGCCCTGGGAGGGAGAGGACGAGGAGGAGGAGGAGGAGGAAGACGACTTTGAGAGGCGGATGGACGAGGACGGGGTCATCGGCCTGGGGGAGGGTGCCAGGAGCCCACCGTGGGGTGAGTCGTCCCCTCCCTCCTGCCCAAAGCCCCTCGTGGGGGTGGTCGCAGATGTGCTGGAGCCAAGGGGGGCTGCGGGAGGGGCGGGGGCACCGTCTGGGTCCGGCTGGCAGCAGCCCCGCGCCGCTGGTGTTTTGCAGGTGCCGGGGAGGACCCGGAGGAGGGGTCCCCGCTGGAGGAGGGTCGCTGGCACCCGCAGCAGGACCTGGCGGAGGAGGACGAGGAGCGGGGCAGCTCCGGGGGGGACGAGGGGCCCTGGGGGGCAGAGAGTGACGGGGAGCCCTACCCCGAGCTCTCCTGCGAGGGTCGGTGGGGCTCGGGGTCCAGCGGCAGCCCCGAGGCTCTGCGGGAGCACCGGGCTCTCTGCCAGCCCCGCGGCTGCAGCACGGATGGTGGGGACACCTCGGCGCTGTCGGACACCAGCCCTGGCCCTGCCACCCCATCCCGCCGGCCCCGGGGCTGGGGCACAGCCGGGGGCACCTCTGGAGGGCACGGGCAGGGGTGGACCCCGAGGCGGAGCCTTCCACTACCTCTCTCCACCGACGACCCCCGCGATGCCACCAGCCCCGAGCCTGTCCCCAAGCCCCAAACAGCCCCTGGCACCACTGGCTTGGCATCCCCGGAGGAGCCCCAGGGCGCTGGGAACCCCCCAGCACCCCAACTGCACGACAGGTCCCGGGTGCCCAAAAAACCGGCACCCACGGTGGTGCCCCCCAAGCCCTCCCGGCAGTCGCGGTCCCTGAGCCCCCGGCGGGGAACAGGAGGCAAGGGGCACAGGGATCCCTCGGGAACGGGCACGGATGGCACCCAGTACGGCCGCGGGCGCCTCAACCACCCCCTGCCCGACCTGTCCAAGGTGGAGGCGCGGGTGAAGTTCGACCAGAGCTACCGCCCCCCCCGGGGCCGGGTCCTGCCCGCCCGCCCCAGGGTGCCCGGTGGTCCCGTTGGCTTCAAGTCCCCGGCCGAAATCGTGCGGGAGGTGCTGCTGAGCAGCGGGGAGGGGGTCCCCCCGCAGCCCCCCAGCACCGCCGGGCTGCCACAGGAGTTCAGGTCCCCCAAACAAGCTACCGCGCTGGTACAGCAGCTCCAGGTAACGCCCAGCTCCTCCCAGTTCGGCCAGAGAGGTCGCACTGGGAGGGTCACCACGGGGGCCGGGGGGGGGGGCAAAGGGTGGTGGTGAAATGGGGATGTTACCGGCTTCGTGAGCTGGTGCTGTGTCACCCACGGGATTTAGTGCTGTGCCACCCACGGGATTTGGTGCTGTGCCACCCATGGGAGGTCGGTGCTGGGCACCCCTTCCCAGTCCTACATGGGGAGGAAGGAAGGAGCAGGCAGGGATGTGGGCAATGCTCAGGCTAGAGGCAGGGATGCTTGTATTCCCCCAGGATGTCCCCTGGGGTGCCCTCCTGTCCCCCGGGAGTAGAGGGGGCTCTCCCCACACAGCCAAACAGGGGCCACATCTGCCCCAGACAGGCCGGGTGCTTTGGGGGGTGGGTTTCTGCACTCCAGAGTGTCACCCACCCATAGGATCCCCCCCCAGGCCTGTTGTCCTCACACAGGGCTGCCTCCCCCTTTGCCATCCCCCCTGTACCGGGTGCTGGCCCCCACTGGTGTCCCCTCCCTGCAGGACGACTACCACAAGCTGCTGACCAAGTACGCCGAGGCTGAGAACACCATCGACCAGCTGCGCCTGGGGGCCAGGGTGGGTGTGGGGTTGGGGTGGCTGTGGGGTCGGGGTGGCTGTGGGGAGGTCCCCCACTCTGTTCCTCCCTCCCTGAGGTTATTCAGCGTGTCTTCCTCCCCCGGCCCCCTCCTCTTCCTCCTCTCGGGGAGCTGCGGTTGAGCAAGCCCGGCCCAGGGAGGGAGGGGTGAGGTCACCGCAGAGCCCACAGCAAAGCGGGGGCCACCGTGCCCCCCTCGTGGTGGGGTCCCCTCCGTGCCAGGGGGGCGGCTGAGCCAGAGTGTCCCTAAAATGGCGAGGCACGTCGCTGAGATGGCAGGGCCACCGGCGGAAGCGTGTCCCCGTGTCACCTCTGCCACCTCCTGCCCTGCGTGGGTGGGGAAGCTGAGGCAGGGCTGTGCCCCCCCACAGCCGAGGTGCTTCAGGGTGCCCCGGGGGCACGGTGGGTGGGCGGTGCCGGGGTCGGAGTGCAGGGTGGGTGCCTGAACCCGCCGTCCCTGCCCAGGTGAGCCTGTTCTCGGACCCGCCCCAGCCCAGCCGCAGCCTGGCCGTGGGCACCGTGGGCACCGGCTGCCGTGTGATGACCCTCAGCATCCCACAAGCCCGGACGGCAGCTCTTGGCACGGCCACGGCCACAGCCTCCACCTCGCCAGCTGGAGGTGGGTTGATCCACCTTTCCCGTCCATCTCATCCCCCTCCTGCTCCGTTTTTTGGCGGGATGCTCACCCAACACCCACGGGTTCCTCACAGTGCGGGGGGTCCCCAGACTCACTTGTCCTTGTGTTTCCTCGCAGCTCCAGCACCGGGACCATCAGATCGGGGGGGTTCACCCCACCCCCGATCCCCCCCTCCGCCCGGGGGGGGCTGCCCCAGCTGCCCCGGGCCGTGCTGCTGCCCCGGCCCCCGGCTCACCCGGGCACTGGCGGGGCAGAGCCGCAGGCTGCAGGCACAGGCAAGGACCGGGGGGGCTGCAGGGTGGGCTGGGGGGGCCTTGGGGGGGTCTGCGTGGGGCTGCAGGGAGGGGGGCAGTGGGGAAAGTGCTGGGGGGCTGCGGGGAGGGGGGCTGTGGAGGTGGCCGTAGAGGGCTGAGTGGGTGGGGGCTGCTGGGGGGCTGTAGAGGGGCGACTGGGGGGGTTGAGGTGGCTGCGGGGAGGGGGGTTACTGGGGGGCTACTCCCCCCGGCTATGGGGAGAAGGGCAGCTGGGGAGAGAGCTGGTGGGGGCTGTGGGGAGGGGGGCTGTGGAGGTGTGGGCTGGGGGGAGGCTATTGGGGGGGACTGAGGGGGAGCTGTGGGGAGAGGATGTGTTGGGGGTGTCACAGGGAGGGGTTTTGGGGGGAGTGCAGGGGAGTCTGCAGGGGTGTGGGCTGCTGTGAGTTGGGGGGCGAATTGGGGACGGCTATGGGGCTGTGGGAAGGGGGACTGTTAAGAGGGTACTGGGGGGGCTGCAGGGAGGAGGACTGTGGGGGCAAACAGGGGGGTGCTGCAGGGGTGGGGGCTATTAGGGGGACGTGGGGAGGGGGTGTGTTGGGGGGGACTGGAGGGGGATATGGGGGGTGCTGCGGGGAGGGGTTTTGGGGGGAGTGCTGGGGGTCCTGGGGGAGGAGAGTTGAGGGGTCTGCAGGGGTGGGGGCTGCTGGAGGAATGTGGGGCATGGGTGTGTTGGGGGGTGTCTTGGGGTGGCTTTGGCAAGGTGGGCTGCTGAGGGGACTGCTGGGGGGCTGTGGGGAGGAGGGCTATGGGGGGACTGCAGGAGTGGAGGCTTTTGGGGGGATGTGGGGAGGGGGTGTGTTCATGGGGTTATGGGAGGGGTCTATGGAGGGGCTGTGGGGAGAAAGGCTGCGGGGGACTGCAGGGGTGGGGGCTGCTGGAGGGCTGTGGGGAGGGGGGGGGTGTTGGGGGGATACTGGAGGGGGATATGGAAGGGGCTGCGGGAAAGGGGGCAGTTGGGGGGGAGCTGGGGACAGGGGTGTTGCCGGGGGTGCAGCTGGGGGGAGGCTTTGGATGGGGGGCAATGGGGAGGGGGTGCAGAGGGGTGCTGAGGGGGCCTGCAGAAGGGGGACTGCTGCAGGGCCGGGCTCAACCCATGCTCTCCCGGGCAGGTGGAGTCCTTCGAAAGGTGGATCCGTGCGGGGAGCCTCCCACCCTCGGAGCAGCTCCAGGTGTGCCAGCCCCTTCCCGGACCCCCAGCCCTGGGCGGGTGGCGGGATCAGGGTGGATTTTGGGACCCAGTGCAGAGCGGGTAGGGTCGGACCCCGCATTTCTTGTGCCGCAGAGGATGAGGCTGCTGAAGGACGCGCAGGATGCGCTGGAGCGGGAATACCTGCGGGGCCGGCAGCAGCTCCCGGGGGCTGCGGGGGGGTTTGATCCTGACAGGTACGTGCTCGACCCCACAGTCTCCTCTTCCAGAACCCTCGGAGTCTCGGGGGTCATTGTACCTCCCCGCCCGGCACTGATGGCCGATGTCTTTCAGGGCGGTAGAAGAGGAGATTTACCGCCTGGGGCTGCGCCTGGAGGGGCTGAAGGAGCGGCTGGAGCCGGGGGACAGGCGGCAGCCCCCCCTACAGTCCCCTCTGCAGCCCCTCCCGCAGCCCCGCTGCCCCCCAGCCCCATCTCCACCGCCGGCCCCCCACTCCCCATGCCCCGAGGTGAGCTGGGGGTGCAAAGGTGCTGGGATGGGGGCACCCTGCTGCGGCTGGGGGGGGGGTCATGCCTCTCGACCCCCCCTTTTGCTGTGCCCTGCAGAGCCCCGCGCTGGTGGACGGTGCCCTGGGGACAGCGGGGGACAACGAGGGAGTGAGGGGGGGGCTGCTCTGGCCCCTCTGGCACAAGCAGCTCCGAGTGGAGGAGGATTTCGCGGACCTGCTGGAGCAGTGAGTGCCCTCGGGGCAGCGCGGGAGGGGCTCGGGTGGGGAGCATCTCCCCCAAACCACCCTGTGATCCCCCCCAGGTACAAGCACTTCAAGTCCCTGCCGCAATCACTGAGTCTGGAGCAGCTGAGCCTGGCGGGAAGCGGGTCCCAGGAGGAGGTGGATGCGCCTGTAGCAGGGGACGGTGGCCCCGGCAAGGTCCCCTGCAGGACACGGTCACTGGAGGAGGGGGCTGACCTGGAGACCTTCCCCGTGTAAGTGCTGAGGGAGGACGAATCCCCAGGCAGGGTGAGCAGGAATTTGCCATCCGGGCTCCTGTTTTGCCTCGCTGGCTTCAGAGTTGGTGACCTCCGCGGGAGAGCTGCTGCCCCAGGGATTTCCCCACATTTGAGGTTGCTCTGCCTCATCCTCATTCTCCATCCATTCCCTCACAGGCATCCCCCGGAGAGAAAAGCTGCACTGCTGCCCTCCAAGGGACCCCCAAAAGCAGAGGGGCCACGGGGCCACCCATCCCCTGCCACCTCTGAGGAGCCACCAGCCACTGCCAAGCCCCACCTGGTGGCCCCGGGACCACCACGGGCGCCGCTGTCCCGCCGCAGCAGCGGGACGGGCAGCGCTGCCCCCCAGCACGGGCCCCGCAAGGTGAATCCCCTGGGTGCCCCCCTGCCAGCACCCCCAGACCCTGCCGGGGGTCCTGGGGTGCTCAGCACCGATCCTGCTGTCCCCGCGTCCCTGCGGGAGCAGCGCATCGTGTCACCGGAGACGGACAGCGGCTTCGTGGGCTCGGAGGCCAGCAGGGTGTCACCCCCCGTGCACACCCCCGAGCACCGCCCCCCTGGCACCGGGTACGGCCCCCGCACCTGCCTTCGGGAATTCAGGGGCACGGGCTGTCGGCTCTGTCTGCGGGGGATCGAAGAGGAGCAGCGACGGGGAGAGAGGCTTCACGGCCGTGGGGCACAGGGAGGGGGTACAGGGGGGGTTGGAGGTGTGTAGGGTGAGCCATGAGGGCTCCCTGCATGACCTCTCTCATCCCCAGGGTCCCCGGCTCGCTGGGACCCTCCATCCCCATCCCCACAACCCTCCGTGCCCCACGGAAGAGAGAGACGACCCCGCTTCCCTCCGAGACAGCACTGATGGGCATCTACCCCGCGGACGGGCAGGGGGGCACGGAGGGGCCCTGCCTGCCCCCCAGCACCCCCTCGCAGAGCAGTTCCACCCCTCGCTGGGCCGAGAGCGCGGGCAGCGAGGCGGGGCCCGACCCCGGCGGCGACGGAGGTGAGTAGGCAGCGCTTGGGGAGAGACGTGTCCACAGGGAGAGAGATTTGGGGGGGCCCTGGCCCTGGGGAGGGGGAGAAGCTCTGGTTTATGGTGTTCCCAAACCCCTTTGGGTGCAGGACTAGGGGTGTCTCCTGAGATTCTCTCTGCTTGGGCAGGGGGAACACCCCATTTCTCACGCTGCCAACCTTGACTCACTGTGCTCCCTTTCCTCCGCAGCTCACACGGACTCGGAGGTGGGAGACAGGAGCTGTGCCAGCACCAGTGGACACCCCCCAGCCATGGCCAGGAGGGTCCCTCCATCCCCAGCCCCAACCAGCCCCCCACCATCCCCTGAAACGCCGTCCCCCACCCTCCTGTCCCCCGACCTGCCGTCCCTCACCCCGGCTCACTGTGACCTGCTGGGCTCCCGCCTGGAGCGCGAGTGAGTGTCCATGGAACCCAAAACCGGGCCAAACCCCCCTGGGTGGCACAGGGACCCCCCAAAGGCACCCTCACGTTCTGCTGGGCAGCAGCAGGTTCCCCTTCTTGGAGAGCCGGGACCTCTCTGGGACTGAGCCTTCCAAACTCATGACACATGTGGTGCCTGAGACTGGACCCCCAGCCCAGACAATCCAGGCTTGGTTTTGGGGGAGCCTTACAGCTACTGGGTGCTGGTGGTGGGGATGGGGCTGATCCTCCCCCAGGGCCCCCAGCCCTGTTGGGGTCGTTGCTGGCTGCAGACGCCCCTCAGCGTGGCCTCTGTCCCGCACAGCCAGGCCATCCGGGAGCTGCGGGAGGAGGTGTGGCGGCTGCGGCGGCGGCTGGAGGAGACCCTGCACCGCTCCCGCAGCTATCCCGAGGGAAAAGCCACTCCCCGTGTCGCCCCGGCCAGGAGGCAGCCCGTGGGCAGCGCACCATCGTCCCCCCAGGACGCAGCACCCTCGGGGTAGGTGGCAGGAGGGACCTGGGGGGCGGCACTGTGTCCCTGTCCCGTGGGCGCGGGGACACCCCCAGCCTGTCCCACCTCTGCTGTGACAGGCAGAGGTTGGGCTTGGGGGCACCGGCAGCCGGGTGGGTGGGGACACCGAGGGGTCTGGGCGGTGACAGCATCTCTGTCCCCTCCGCAGGGAGCTGAGCCCCCCGGCGCGGGGCAGGGTGGCCCCCGGGGTCGCACCCACGCGGAGGGGCAGGTCGGCATCGCTGCCACGGGACAGGCCGGAGCTGGACCTCAGTAAGTGGGACCCCAGCGGGGTGGGGACAGAGGGGACAAGCCCCTCCCTGCACGGAACAGGGTGTTGGTGGGGCTGTGGGACTGCGGAGACCAGGCAGGTCCTGGTGGTCCCATAAGACCCCACAGTGGGTCCTGCAGATCTGGGGCTCAGACCCACCGGATCCCACTCCACTTCCCTCTCCTCTGCCACAGCCTCCGAGTCGGACCCCTCTCCCGCCGGGCCCCGGGCACGCCCCTCCCTGCGGAAGCACCCTGGGAGCCCCCCGGGAGCGGTGACATTCCGGGGACAGTACACAGGTGGGTGCTGGTGGTGGTCAGTGCTGGGGGAGGGGGTGGCCACCCCCACTTTGGAGTCCCCGGCCGTGCTGACGCTGGGTTTTGGCAGGGACACGGTACCAGGGGGGGACACCACGTGCTGCCCCAGCACCCCGAGAGGAGCCGGGCACCCCGGGGTGCCCTCGATGTCGCAGGAGCGGGACATCATCGGGTGAGTGGGGAGCAGCCCCAGCCCCTTCTTGGCCTTCCCTGCCACCTGCTAACAGAGCTGCTAATGACTTACTCATTCATTAGAGAGGCTCGGGGAGGGGGGAGCCCATTCCTCACGACCTGAGGCTCTAACTCACCCCTCGGCCAGACCCCTCTGCCCCGGGGCTGCAGCCACTGGTGTCACTGGGAGCAGTGGGAACCTGTCCTGGATATGTGCCTTTGCAGACCCCCTTTGCAGCAGCCCCCACCCCACCTCCCAGCCCATCCCAGCCACCCCCCAAAAACACTTTGCTCTTCCCAAACATCCCTCGCTTGTTCTGCACAGGACATTCCCGATTCCCTCTCTGCTCCCTCCATAGGTGGATTCTGGGTGGGTGATGCCACCCAGCAGCCCCAGCACAGCACCCCAAGGAGGACACGCTGCCCCACTTGCCGGGCGCCCCTGGGCCCCCCCGTGCCAGGCAGCAGGGACAGAGCCACGCACGGTGGGTGACGAGGGTGACACGTGCTTGGTACAGCCCATCCCTGTGTGAGAGGTGGGCAGGGAACAGCCCTCAGCTCCCCGACACTGCTTGGGGACAGAAGTGACAGCCAGCAGTGCCACCTGCGGGTATGGGTGTTCCCACCCAGCAGTGGGTGATGTCCCACCCAGGGGGTGATGTCACCTGAGGCTGCCACTCGATGCACAGCCCTGGGGACATTCAGCACCCCTGGGGACATCCAGCACTCCTTGGGGTCATCCTGCACCCCCTGGGGACATCCAGCACCCCTGGGGACATCTAACACCCCTGGGGATATCTAGCACCCCTGGGAACATCTAACACCCCTGGGGATATCTAGCACCCCTGGGAACATCTAACACCCCTGGGGACATCTCACCCCCCAACCACCTTCCTCTCTCCCCACAGCAGAGCGTGGCCCCGGTGCCACATCGTCCCCAGGCTCCCACGTTGGTCCCCGAGCCGAGAAGCCGGATCAGCCCGGATTTTGGTACCTGGCAGCCGGTCCTGCTGCCACCGTCTGCCTCGCCCCCGTCCCCCTCGTGCCTTACGTGCCCTCCGTGCTGTAAGGATGCTCTGTGGGCAGGTGGGGAGGGGGCCCAGGGTGGGTCAGCATCCCCCAGGGGTGCAGGGTGAACCCAGGCAGGGCTGTGCCCGCTCCAAGGACCTGCTGGTTTGCCCACAGATCCCATCCGGGTGGGAATGGGGTGACACAGCCACAGCTCCTTTGGGGAGGGGTCTGGGCGGAGCAGGAAGGTGCTGGAGGGTGGGGGGGTGGATGAGGTGGGGGAGAGGGATGAAAACAAGGCGGGGGGGGCACAGAGCCGGGGGGGGGCTCAGAAGCAACACTGAGCCCATATCCCCTTCTTTCTCCTCCCAGCTACTGCTCCCCAGCCGTACCTACCTCAGCCCCCGCCACGGCCGCGGCCACCCCGCGCCTCACCGGGGGAAACCGGCGGGCACAGAGACCCTCCCGGGCACAGCCCCGCCACCACTGCCTCAGCCTGGACCTGCAGGAGCTAGACGAGCTCAACTGGTCCCTGAGCCGGGCCGTGGAGGCTGCCCAGAGCGTCAGGGTGACCACCACCCGCATGAGTCGGGCACTGGCCGCTGAGCTGGGCCGGGCACGGGATCTGCGCAGCTCCTGCCTCTTCTGAGGGTCCCACGGGACCTGAGGGGCTCCTGCCTCTTCTGAGGGTCCCCCTGGCACCTTCCAAACCATCCCTGCCCTCGCAGCAGGCAGGGATGATGAGGAGGAGGATGGTCCCCCACTATCAACATCCCAGCACTGGGTGCTCCCAGTGCCAGATCCGGGGGCACCGGGGCTGGAGGTATCTCCGGGGGGTCCTACCCTGACTCCCACCCCTTCCTGCTTGCCTTGGAGTTCCTGCATCGCTTGTCTGTCTGTCTGTCTGTTTTCAGGACCACTCAAGCTGCAGGAGGGGGGAAGGTGTGGGCAGGGGTCCCCTGGGACCTGCAGCACCCTGAGGAATGAGCACCATCCCCTGGGACCAAGGGGGTGGCCCCGTGTCCCCCCCTAAGGCAGTGGCCACCCCAACCTAAGCACTTCTGGGGCTGCTGTGACCTGGTGTAGGTCCTGCACAGGTCGAGCCCCCCTTGGCAGCTGTGTTTACCTCTGTGCCTGCATGGGCAGAAATACCTGTGATTCCCTATTCCACCCCTTTCCCAGATTTTAGGCCTCCTGGGGGGGCTCAACCCACGTGTCCCCCTCCTGCTCTGCCCTTGGACTTGAACCCAGCGGGATCCTTTCTGGGGAAACCCTTCTTTGTGTGGGATTTTTGTGATTTATTTTTTCCCCAAGACAGCCAGTAAGCAGCTAAACCACTCTTTGAGGGTTGATTGATATATAATGTGTGTGTCTATATATATGTATCTATATATGGATATATCTAGACAGAGATAAATCCATGTCTATCTATATTTAGATATATATCTCTAGAAAGACAGAGATATCTCTCTATATAAATCTGTATATACACAGATCTGTATCTATAGATACATCTTTACATAGATACGTATGTATATATATATATTTTGGTTTTCATTTCCAGCACAACCTTTAGGGCATTTGTGGGGCTTTTTTTGCCCACATCCCTGGATGTGGCCACCCACAGCATCATCCAGGATGAAAATGAAATGAAGGGTTTGGGGTTTTCCCCTGGGATTCCCAGGGAATGCAGTCTGGTAGAGGGAAAAAATCACCCTGCAAGACTGAGTTGGGGGTAGATGTGGTGCTGAGGGGTCTGCAGAGCCCCTGTCCCTCCCAGCGGGGTTTGTAATGAGTTAATGCCTATTTTTTTAAAGGAATTTGATGTGGACAGAGCAGCTTTTCCTGGGATGGGTCCAGTCAAACCCCTCCAGCACCTCCTGTGGCACCCCAGCTCTGTTTATCTGTAGCACCTACCTGAAGTGCCAGTGTCAAACGTATTTATTTTTGCTTTTATTTGTGGTACAAAGGCCCCCATTTGGGGGGGTTGGGATCAGTGCCACCCCCAGAGAGTTCCTCAATCCCTGAGCCTGATCCTGCACCCCCCAGGGAGGGGCTGGGAATGGGACTGCCCCCTACCCCCTGGCCTTTTTGGAGGGACAGGGGTGGGTTGGGGGGATTTTAAAGAGGATTTCTGTGTCTCTGGTTGCCTCTGCTCGTGCCTGTGTCCCAAACTGGAAGCTGTGACCCGCCCCCAGCCCAGCCAGGGTATGATGGGAAGCACGTTTAACTATCCCAAATGCAGCAGCCAGGAGAAAAATAATGGGTTTTTCCTGATCCCCTATTTTTTAACGCCCAGCAGAGCCACTGGGCTGGTATTTTGTACTAAGAAATCACCTATTTTTGAAGGAAATAAATGTGGTTGGATGACCTTGTGTGCTTATTTTCCTTCCCAAAGCCGTTTCTCGGGGGGAGTTTTGGCATCACCACGCCAGGATCCCTCTCTTGGAGGCGTGTGGGGCTGGGTGGGGTATTTCCCTACATCTTTTCCCTGTTTCCTGGCCCCCAACGAGTGGCACAGCACAGCCCCAGTTGCACTAGGGATGGAGATCGCTTTTATTTAGTCACTCGAGTGCTTTAGTACAGAAGAACAGATATACAGAGATGATACATGTTTGTGCTTCAACACTTTCAAACATTTAGATTCCAGTAATTTCAAGGTAAACAAGTTCCAAGACAGACTAGATTATTTTTTTTTTTAAAGTTTTCCTTTTTGATAAATTATTTTTTATATAAATAACTGTAACAGAAAAAAAAATAATAATAATTATAATAATGTCCAACATACAAGATCCTGAAGCATTTGCATTGCTAAACCAAGAAGGAACGAAAACGGGCTGGGAGGACCGAGGGGGGAACCAACAAATATCAGTGCAATGATACAGCCTTTGCCCTAAAAATATATATTTAACTTTATGGGCAAGGAGCAGACAGGGAGGGAAGGGGGGGCTAACCACCAACGAGGCAAGAAAGAGCAATTTGGGGGAAGGAAAAGGGGGGGTCACAGCCTTCGGGGGGAGAGAGAACAAAACCATAGACCCCAAAATATTGCAGTGCATCTAATGGCAGGGGAAGGGGGGGCAATCCAGGGGGTGGAAAATAAAAAAAGCCCAACTAAAATCAAGAGGTTTGGGGAAATCACTATACACCAAGCTTGTAAGAACGTCACGAGACACAGTCATTAATATACACAGAGTCCAGAGGGGTTTGGGGTGGGCCCAGAGGGTTTGGGGTGGGCCCAGAGGGTTCGGGGTGGGCTCAGAGGGTTGGAGAGGCCTGGAGGGTTTAGGGGAGTCCAGAGGGTTCGGGGTGGACTCAGAGGGTTGGGGAGGCCCCAAAGGGTTTGGGAAGGGGGCCCAGAAGGTTTTTGGGGGGGGGCTCAGAAACGCTTCACCACGGGACGACACGAGTGGGGCCGGGCACGGGGCACTGAGCTTCCTTTGGGA